TCGTGTCTCAGCTCTCTTCCCACCTGAGAAAGTTCTCCACTTTTAAGGCCTCATGTGATTCTATTGAGCCCACCCATGTAAATCCAGAAAAATCTTGGCATTTAAGGTTCTTAATCTTAATTACATCTGCAAACACTCCTTTTTGCCATGTTGAGAGGTTGCAGGTATTAGCATGTGGACATCTTTGGAGGCTAATTCCACCTACTACACCATCCAGTCTCTTCTTCGCCCTTAAAGTTTGTATAGTGATGTTGTTTCTCCTGTAGAATTTCCCACAATTTGTATTTTGCTGATCATATCCCCCTGGTGTTGTTTCACATAGTATCCTGTTCCCTGTATTGCCTAGAAATTAGATTTAGATTGTAAAGACATAATCAGATCAGGTTTACTTTGGGGTAAGACTACAGCATAGGTGGTAGTGGGTTCAATCTGTAGACACTTGTCTGGTTTTTCTCTTGGACAGTGTTAGCAGCGTTTGAGATTATCAACCCCTAGCCCTATTATTTCAGCAAGGATTTCAAAATGGTGACATTCTTCTAGTTTTATCATTCCATCTTCATTTACTTGATTAACTGTTTGGTTATAGGAAAGGCTGGGTAAAACTAGATTCTTCCCCTGTATTTTCTGGTTTTCAAAGTGAGTTGGTTATCTACCAAAAGTGACCAGGTTTTTGTTTGTTTTTTTTTTTTAATATGATTACTAACTCATCAATTTCATGTTTGAAATACTTCAATCCATTGCAGTTATCATTCTCACTGATGCTCAAATATTCCCATATTTGTTCGGTGGGAGCCCCTTGAGGTTGGCTCCTGAGTCCTTTTGATAGGACTTCAATAGAATTTGATAGTGTCTGTGCTTTCAGTATAACAAGACATCCCAGCTCATCTTGTGCATTTCCTGCCTCCTATCCAGCAGCAACTATTTCTCCACGAAGCTTCACATTCCTTTAAAGGAACATGGTATTTAGAGTACCACAATTTAGGTACTGGGGATAGTCATTGCTATTGGTTTGGTCTTTGTTTCCAGGCTTTACTGTGGTCTGAGCTAGGCAATTAAAAAAAAAAAATCATTGTGGTTTCATACTGACACGCCCAACTTAAATTCAGGACTATGGGATTTTAACTTAGCCTCATTTATCTATCTCCTATCTTTTTCTTCTTTCTCCTAGGCTTAAAAAAACTTTTTGTTGGGGCGCCTGGGTGGCTCACTCAGTTGAGCGTCCGACTTCGGCTCAGGTCATGATCTCACAGCTCGTGAGTTCTAGCCCTGCATCAGGCTCTGTGCTGACAGCTCAGAGCCTGGAGCCTGTTTCAGATTCTGTGTCTCCCTCTCTCTCTGCCCCTCCCCTGTTCATGCTCTGTCTCTCTCTGTCTCAAAAATAAATAAACGTTAAAAAAAAATTAAAAACGCTTTTTGTTGTTTTGTAATGACATCAGCAGATGTCTTATTTGTTTTGTCTCACAATATACACGTTTGAGTTCTAAGACAAAAATACAACCACCGATGATGATTACTGAAAATAGTTCAAGAATTTTTTGACATTATTTTTCATCTAATAATATCTACCATGGCCATGTAGAGAAATATTTTTCATTCCTCTTTAGAGCTGCAGAGTAAGCTACCAGTCCTCTGTCAATGGAAAATTGGCTTGTTTCCATTTTGTTGTTATTTCCAATATTGCCTCAATGAATAAGTCTTTTTATGTTTTGGCCAGTGTATCCCTTGAACAGATTTTTAGAAGCGAGATCACAAATTACACACGTAATTTTGCTGGATATTGCTAAATTCCTCCTCCAAGGGATTTTGACATTTTTGTGTTCCCACCATCATTGTATGACAGTGTTTTCCTATATACCCTGGCCCATAGACTGTCATCAAATTTTAGAATTTTGCTACTCTAATAGGTGATAAGTGTTATCTTAATGTAGTTTAAATACTTATTTCTCTTATTTTGAGCAATATTGAATAGCTTTTGTTTAAGACATATTTGCATATTTCTGAATTGTCCAAATCTCTTGTCCATTTTACTATCAGATTACTGTGCTTTATTTTCAGAAGCTTCCTACGTATTAAGGATAGTAACCCTTTGTTTATGCTATAAGTTGCCAATTTTTTTCTCATTTTCTCATTTGTCTTTTTATATGTGGTTTTTGGTGTGGGGTTTTTTTTTTTTTGTGCCATTTAATTTTTTTTTTTCATTTTTGCCTTGTCAAAGGTAAAATTTCCCACTCCCCTAGGTTATAGAGGAATTCACTCATGGTTATTGTTGTCTTGCATTTGAAATCTCCAGTCCATTTGAAATGTACTAGGTATGGTGAGAGGAAAGGATCTAATTTTATTTTTCATATGGCTGTAGGGTTGACCCACTATCACTTATTAAAAAGTCCATCTTTGGGGTGTCAGGCTGGCTCAGTCAGTGGAACATGTGACTCTTGACCTGAGGGTGCTAAATTCTAACCCCACATTGGGTGTAGAGATTACTCAAAAATAAAACGTAAAATAAATTAAGTAAATAAAAAGTCCATCTTTTCCCCAGTAATCTGAAGTGCCACCTTTGTTTTATGCTAAATGTATTTTATACAAATATTCATGTTCAAATTGTTACATCAATCTATATCTCTCTTTATTATTTGCCTGTTATTTCTGACCTGCATTTGATAACAATGGAAATTAGGAGCATATGAAGCCATAAAACCTTTTAGGACTAAAATCTATTATGTAAATAGTTCTTAGATTTTTTTTTTTAATGTTTATTTATTTTGAAAGAGAGAGACAGACAAAGCGTGAGCAGGGGAGGGGCAGAGAGAGGAGACACAGAATCTAAAGCAGACTCCAGGCTCTGAGCGGTCAGCATGGAGCCCAATGCAGGGCTTGAACTCACAAACCATGAGATCATGACCTGAGCTGAGGTCAGATGCTTAACCAACTGAGCCACCCAGGCACCCCAATAGTTTGTAGGTTTAGTTGCTTTTTTTAAATGGGGGAAAGCAATTCATTCGTTTGTGTGTAGCAAAGAAAATGTGAACCTAAATAAAGAGAGATTCATAAAAGCAAATTGTCTAAACTTTTCTTAAGAGACTTAAGAGGGTTTTGTCAGGAAGCAGCCTGATGTAATTAATGCATGAGTTCAATCTCTGGGGTCAGGATCCTGCCCCTCAGGACCTGCTTTGTTGTGGGCATGTTCTTAATTTCTCTGAGCCTTGGTTTCCTTACTTCAGAAACGGAAATAATAAAATCTTGGAGGGTTGTCGTGAGCACAGAAGGATCTGCGTGCCATCACCCAGCCTAGTGCCCCCACATAAAGGGCATTCAGGGAGTGTTGTTTCTCTTTTCTTTCCCTTCAGGGGAAAATACATCTATAATTTTTATGGTGAGGTTTTCTCTGGCTACTCATGAAAATAAGAACGGGTCTTATTTTTACTCTGCAAAACTGATAAAAGGGGTAGATGAGAAATCAAGGTTCTTTACTTCCAATACCTCTGTAATTGCTGCCTTCACTGGACAGCAGCCTTCCCAGGCTCTACTTTCAGAGTGAAACAGGAAAGGTGGATTGACAACAACCACAGGGATTTCTGACTTCTAAACTAATGTAAGCCTGGAGGGAGGGGAGATTCCAGAGAAGGAGTGAGAACAGAGATCTGGCTTTTCTCTTCTCAATACAACATTGCTTCTGGTTTTCCAGTTCAAGAGAGGAATCTGGCTTATGATACAATTTCCAGAAAATCTCCTCTTCATCTTGAAAGCCCCTACCTACCCTGAAGTTGAGAGATCTGTCTTTAGAAAATATAATTATAATCCAATACAGTTTGGTTCTGTCCAGAGTGAGATGGATATCTGAGAATTTTTCTGACAAAATGCTTTATTTTTTAAGATCCCCCTATCAGATTTTCTTTCATAAAGTCCTATTTTGCTTTATTTAGCTTAATTTCACAAATGTCTATTTTAGATTGTGATACAATATAGATATATTTAAGGAGTTTGTTTGGAAAACATTTCAAAATCATTTTTGAAGTTTTTTAAATGAATTATTGAAGCCCTAATCAGACTTTAATTCATAATTTTATTCCTTTCTTTTAAAATAAACCCATTTAAAGTAGTTTTATGCATTCATCAATGTTAAGAGCTGTTATATGAATATGAAAAGGCACTACTAAAAATAATTTGATCAGTTTTCACACAACATTGTTAGATTATATTCATGCAGCATTTGAGTGTTTCAAATACATTTTTATTTAATTTTTGCGACAGCATTGTTATATGTCAATATTGTTAACATAGCTTATTTATACTGAAGCCCAAAGAAGTTATATTTTAAATGGCCCAGGATTTCCCAGACAACTACAGTTCGAGACTAGAAATTCAGATTTCAATCTAGTGTTCTTGCCACCGTGCTACAACCAAACTAAGTTCATAATCAGCAAAAGCATTAGGTTTAGACATGCATACATATTAAATTTTCCATAGTTAACATAATGGCAGATTTTCCATTGAATGAATCTTGTACTTCATTTGCAATATTCGATTTGTAACCTTGCTTAGTTTTCTTGCTTAGTTTTCTTATGGATATTAACTAGTCCTTTGGTATGTCCAAATGAGAACTATTTAAAATATTATGGAATAAGATTCTGGTAACTTGAAACTCTGAGAGGATCAGTCCTCACAAAAAGTTAAAAAAAAAAAAAAAAAAAGGCGGGGGTGGGTGGGTCCTGGGTGGCTCCGTGGGTTAAGCCTCTGAGGATTTCTCAGTCTGTGAGTTCAAGCCCTGCCACAGATTCTGTGCGGACAGCTCAGAGCCTGGAGCCTGCTTTATATTGTGTGTCTCTCTCTGCCTCTCTCCTGCTTATGCTCTGTTTCTCTCTCTCTCAAAAAGATAAATAAGTAAAAACATTAAAGAATTTTTTTAAACAAAGTTAAAAAAAAAAACAAAAAAAGAAGAAGGCACAATATAGCCCTGTTGGGCAAGAAAGAACTTAGTCCCTGTGTCTGGTTTTGTTTTCCAGGTGGCATTGCATGCTTGTGGAGTGGCAACAGACATGGTGATTGAGCACTGCATCAAAACGCGGGCTGCCTTTGTCACATGCCCTTGCTGTTACGGTTTCATTCAGAACACCTCAAAGTTTAATTTTCCAAAAAGGTGAATTTTAGTGTTCTACCTAAGGCACCAATGTGGGGAATAAAGTAACATACAAAACTCATTCGATACGAAGCTGCAGTGAAATTTCAGTTTTGAGCTCATCTCGTCTTTCCCCAAAGGCAGGTATTATTTATAAATTATATAGGGAAAAGACGATCTCCTCTATGGCTTCTCCTTGACTTTTCTCTGGATCCGGCTCCAGAGAACGCATTTAGAAGCAAGTCTAAGGGTGAGCCGACTAGGAGTCTGATGGCTTCGGCACTTCTCGTCACCTGCGAGAGGCAGTAGGTGTAGCGGTTGAGTGCGTAGGACCTGGAAGTCTTCTGCCTGGGTGCAAAAATCGGCTCCTCAGACTTTTACACGTTGTTTCACCTCAGGCAATTTTTCTTCAACTCTTTTTGCTTACGTTTTCTATCTACAAAATGGAGGTCATAACAGCAACGTCCTCACAGTTTATGTAAGAATTGAATGATCTATGTGTAAAGCACTTAGAAGCAGCATAGAGTAAGCATTCAATAAAATGTGAGCTGTTGCCAGTTACAGTAGCAGCAATAGTATTTACTTATTTATTTATTTATTTATTTATTTATTTATTTATTTATTTATTTATTTATATTTAAATCCAAGTTAGATAACATACAGTATACTCTGAGCTTCAGGAGTAGAACCCAGTGATTCATTTCTTACCTCTGACACCCAGTGCTCATCTCAATAAGTGCCCTCCTAAGTGTCCATTTAACCCATCCCCCCTATTTTATTTTTTTAAGCTAATGTCTTTACTTATTTTGAGAGAGAGCTAGAGAGCAAGCAGGGGAGGGGCAGAAAGTGAGGGAGACAGAGGATCCGAAGTGGGCTCTGTGCTGACAACAGAGAGCCACATGAGGGGCTCCAACTCATAATCCATGAGATCATGACCTGAGCTGAAGTCAGACACTTCACTGACTGAGTCACCCAGGTGCCCCTGAGCATTTTTAAGATAGAATAGATTAAATACATTCGTTTTGAAAATTCTATCCCATAATGTGTCAAAAAAAAAAAAAAAACCTTCTTGATCATTTGCATGATTACTTTTAAGAAATATTGGAAAATTTCCATCAGAATTTATACTTATAGGCTCTGAGTAAAGTAACAAAGTACAAAAAAATAGCTTTCTTTTACTTTTTGAATTTTTTTCTGTATTTCATTATTTTGTTGTTTACCACAATTTGCTACTAGTTGAGAGAAAACCAAAGAATTTTGGAAAAGCAAATAATAAAATATAACTTAAGGTTTATGCAATAGCTGAAATGTCTCTTTATTCTGAACCTATACAGATAAAATGTTTGTTTTACAACCCATCAAGAAATCTGTAAGTCTAGCACTATAAAGATTCTTAAGAATGCTAGTTTGAGTTATTCAGCCTACGGTTTCACTTAATTGATTTTAAAATCTTACATTAGTGTCCGTCAACGTTTTCATATCTCTGTAAATTTATTGATACTTTCTCCTTTTGTCATTGGAAAACTACTCCTCGGCCATTATCCCCCTCCCCTAATCACCCCAAGGTCAGGTACCAGATAAGTAGGGACAGCCCTGATCTCCAAAGCCACTGACATTATTCAAGCTAGCCAGTCCTAAGCTTGCCCATCCTGCCTTGCCATCCCTTCCTGTGGAATTCCCTGATAAAGGCTCCTGCCCACATTTTATCCCACTCCCTTTGCCTTCTAACCAGCCTGGTACTTTCCCATGTGGCCCTGTGTGGGATACCTTCTCCTCTGGGGAACTGTGAGGAAAAAACTGTCTTTCCCATGGCAATCATCCCCTCATCTGTTGGCTTCAGCACCCCTGAATAGCAGTAAACCCTACGTTTTAAAGCACCTGAATCTGGGGCGCCTAGATGGCTCAGTCAGTTAAGCATCTGACTTCACCTCAGGTCGTGATCTCATGGTTTGTGAGTTCAAGCCCCACATCCAGCTCTCTGTGCTGCCTGCTTCAGGCCCTCTGTCTCCCTCTCCCTCTCTCTCTGCCCCTCCCCAGCTTGTGCGAGTGGGCACACATGCTCACTTGTGCGCGTGTGCTCTCCTTCTCTCTCAAAATAAATAAACATTAAAAAAAAAGAAAACACCTGGATCTGTGTGCACCCATGTGGGAAAGAGAAAAACAAAATGGTTGTGTGTCTCTAATAGTCTAAACAATCTTTGAAAAGTTCTTTAAAATTAATAACATACTGATAGCATGACTTTGGCTTTTCTTAAAGACATTTCAAACTGGTATAGTTTTTAGTTTAGGATAGCATTATGTACTCCTCAGATAAAATATGTATTTTTGTTTATATTTTCTTCTATGTAGAAATATAGATGATTCTATTCCTAATCTTTGGTTTCTCTACTATTTAAAATAATGACTCTTTTTTCTTTTCTATTTCAGTGAACAATTCAAGAAAACTTTATCGTACAAGGTAACCTCAAAAATTTCTAGATGTCTTTCTAATATACTTTTTATTCCTTCTTTATGTTTTTCCTCTCTCAAATTTCTAATGGGATATGTAATCTATAGTTACCTTAGAATTACTCATTAACATCTAATACGGTGTCGGGGTGGGGGGGTTGCTTTCTTTTGGGGTGGCTTTTTTTTGTTTTGCAAATCAAGATTAATGTCCAAATAGGTGGCAAGATTCGTGAAGGGTCTGAGAGTTTACCCTGCAAGCTAACATGTTAGCCTGCCACAGTTTCATGGATGCTGGCAGATAGGAGACTTCTGAGTCAGAAACACAGAGTAGCATCCAGACTATCATCATTTTTGCATTGACCTCCTGAGACCCAGTTCCCACTGGGCAGCACAAAAAGGGCCCAGTGACACCCTCACACACAGTGAGTTGCATTACGGGAGAGGAAAACTGAGCTTAGAAAGCCAGATGTCTTAAGATTTAATCTTTAAGCCCTTTGCTCCAGAGGGAGACAGTATGTAGTTTCCAAAGCTGCTCCCTATATAAACATCTTTGAGAAGAGGATCTAGAACACAGGCAAATTTTCCTGTAAAAGGTCAGATAGTTATAAATATTTTGGGTTTTGTCAGCCACTTAATAATCTCCCACCAATTATATTTTGTCCTGGTCATTGCTGTTGCTTTTGTTGGTGGTGGTTGACAATCCTTTAAAATTGTAAAGACCATTTTTAAGTTGAAAGCCATACAAGAAGAGGTCATAGGCTGGATTTGGCCTGCGGGCCACCATTTGCCACCCCCTGGTCTGGAACCAAGGGCACGAAGAAGGCATGAAGAAACACAAGAGACCCATGGAGAATTGTCTCTCAACAGTAGTCAGAACATTACATAGTTTTGAGTCACCACTCTGAGCAAAACAGTTTTCCAGCTTTCTAAATATCACTGGCTAACTAATTGGTCCATAACATGGCATGATGCAATATAAGAAATGGGGATGAAATTTGCCAGAAACACATAAATAATCCTATTAGAACTTGATAAATTACTTTAGATTCTTAGTTCACTTCTTGCACATGTATAAAAATATATAGTCTCATTTTGTGTGCCAGCACGCATCTTTCAAGATTTTTCCATCTCCATCCAACAGTGAAGTAGTGAGGGACTACTTGTACCACCTTGGCACATTTATCTCCTTCACCTCTGTCTCCCACCCTCTCCTTTCCCCTCCCACCCCCACATCTGAGCATACACAGATACCTATGGAGGGGAGAGGATCTTGAGTGTTCATGCTTTCATCCAGAACCAGACTTTTCTGGTCTTTCCCTATTGGATTTAAAGTTTGTATGTCTTAGGGAACTATAGGGTTTTGAGGGAGACATTAGGACCCCAGGAACTTTATTTTCATAAGACTCAACACCTTACCTTTCTCTTACAAGGCCCTGCCAGCCTGCCAGTAAAATAGACAATGAGTTGAAAAATAAACACAAATTAGGTCCCCGTTTTTAATCCATCTTTGAGGGATGATAGCTAAAAGCAAACTGAGAGGATGTGTGGAAAAACCTAGGGCAGTGAAGACACAAGGTGCCACAGTCTCGCTGGCTAGAAAAGAAGACAAAATTTCTAAATAATAGAGACAGGGCACCCTGTCTCTTCCAGAGAACAGAAAACTCACTAGTACCTAGTTCATCTTTGTCTCCCCTTTCTCCCACACCCCCAAAAGCTGCTTGGCCACCAGCCCTTTTGAGGGTCTCAGGTATAAAGGCTCTGGAGAGAAGTCTCAGCTTCTTGGATACTGTGGCAAGATGGTACCTCAGTATTTCTTGACTTAACCATGATGGGTGGCCTGCCAGCCAGAATTAAATGCAGCTAGTGCCCCTATATATTGAGAGTCACTCTGGCCGCGTTTTTCTCCACAGTTCAGTTCACCAGCAAACCTTTACTGACTTCCTACTATGTGCTGTCCCCTTTCAGAGTTTAACTTCTATTGGGGAGAACACATACACAAATAATTCCAGTAAAATCTGGTGATGCTTATAAGGACAAGAGAAACAAACCCCATCTGAGATGATTGCCTCACCATTAAATGACTTTTAATTTTCAAATGCCATCAAGACAAGGGCATGCTTTTTCTTGCCTTTTCTTCAAATTACATCATTCTAAATCCTTCTTGTGACCCGTTGTTGATGCCAGTTCATGGCTGCTTAATAAAAGTTATTCACTTGAACCATTTTATTAGTGTCCTACCCATTGGCCACGAAATTTTATAGTGAGCATTACAGTGTTTTTTTTTAATAATGCATAAAATTTGAGACAGAGGTAACCCCTCAAAAAGACCTAACATCACACAGTCACTTCAATTACCTTATTAAAAAATGGAGGCCTCGATTGAATGTACAAAAGACTAAGGGAACAAAGAGGGATCGGAGTTCAACCATTTGCTAAGTTGACAGGTGAGATCATTTACACCCTTGGAAACTGCAGCTGTTCTGAATGAACAGTTGTCATGGGACATTGAAGTCATCTCCACTCCGCCTGATCACTCACCTGTGGCTGCTTGCAGATTTCATAGTGCCTTACAGACTCATCAGCTCTCTGTCGCTATACAGCCTTGTTCTTTTTTGCATTAAGGCAGTCTTTCCTAAAATTAAACAGAACAACTCTCTCTCCCACTCTCTCAAGTCATTGTTATGGTTGGCCTGAAACCCGAAATCGATACAGCCCCAGAAGCCTTTGGGAGTGAGAGGAGACAGAGTGAGCCAGCCTCCTCTCCTCCAAAGGGACAAAGGAAGAATCTAGAAAAGCGTAGGAGTAGCCAGCACTTTGCTGGGTATCCCAGAGAACTACAGAAACCACAGACAGTGATGATCTTCTACAGTATGTTAGTAGGAAGAAAAACCACTGAGACTGTCTTCTTGGAGCCACTAACCCCAACCCTAACCCTAACCCTAACCCTAGCCCCACGTTCCTGAGATTCAATTTTATTACAGGAAAAATACAAGTGAATTTTAGGTCTTTTAGTTTAACACATGATAATCACAAATTGTAACTATATTTGAGCTAAGAGCAACTAGTGAAATGGCCCTGAGGATTTTCCTTGCACCTGTTCCTAAGAACTGCATCTGAGGAACAGTCTGCTTGAAGGGAAAAAGTTACTAACTGCCATTTTCTGAAAATGGGTTTCTTTTAGAAGTATCATGTATGCAGTACTTTATTCAATTAAAAATGAGTGGTTTTTATAATTTTCACAATTTTGAAGCAGAAAAATAAAATAGACTCACATCCTATTGCTTTATCTTTTAGGAACACATGATTCTGTGCAGATTTGCAGATCAGACAGCTGTCCAGCTTCCAGCCCAGCGAAGGCTCATAGGTATGTGTTTTCACAGAGCAGCTGGTAAGTAGATTATATACAATATGCCTAGGAATGAATGGACTGGCTTTATATGGGGGAAACTGGTCCATTTATCAACAAGGAACTAAAGTCTGTTTTTCCCAGAAAAGGCAATCCATATTGAAAAGAGCTTTGTAACTGTAAGAGTATTTTATCCCATTTTTGTTAACATTAATACTTTTAAATTCATTTTCAATATTTGTACATTGTGTAGAATTATGTTCTTACTGTTATGAACAAACTGAAGGATCTGTCAAAAGCCACAGAGGAAAATAATAAAGATGGGAAAATCAAGTACACATGCCAAAATTAATGCATTAAAAAATATGTAAGCAAGGATGATAACGTTTTCTTTCTTGGTAAATGTATACTTGCGTATTATTAGTCATACACCAGTTTATTTGACATCTGTAATAGTAAGCATTACCTTGGAATTGGAAGACCTACAATAACATATCAAGTTTAAATAATGAATTTAAAGTCTTATCCAAGACTTTGCTTTAGAAAAAGAAATCGCATTTAGATGGACAACAGCAACTAACAGTGCACATTTAAGCATTGAGCTAAATGCCCTTACCCATCATCTCAGTAAATTCTAATGAAAATACTTATGGGATATGTACTGTTATTTAGACTTTACAGATGAAGGAACTAGGACAAAAGCCTGTCCAGTAGATGATGGAGCCACACTATGAACCCAAATTATTTGATTCCAGACATGAAGCTCCTATCCACTTTTGCAATGCCCCCCAGTTGTGGAGTCACATCACTGGAAGGCTGGATTCCAAAATTAGGGCTTGAGATGATTGAGTGGAGTCAAAAATAAAGCCCCACATTGAAGGCCATCCTAGTATATTGGAAAACAGATGGCTATTTCTTTGAGCACCAGATGTGGTAATTAGCTTACATCCAGGGACTGTATTGTATGAGAAGTAGTTATCTTTAAACTCTAAAGTCAAGATACACACAGTGAGAGAGGCATTTGAGACCTGAGGCTGAAGGAAGAAGTGATTTCCTTCTCTTTCTCACACTCTGGAGCATAAACATATGGAAAAATCTCTTCCTCTTTCCTGCATGCAACCTCTGTCCATTTCCCACTCTTTTTCTCCTCCTCCCCTCCCTATTCCCAACACTTTGAGTTCATCGAGTGTACATTTGAATGTTCAGGGAGCGCTGGAAGGGAAGTTGCTGGAGTTGAACAGGAGGAGTAGCATCTGGCATAATCACTGGCATGAGGGGAGGGAAAGTCAGGTTCAAAGTCATAGACTCCATCAAACTTCAGCCTCCGTACTTTGCACGGGCCATACTTTTGTTCTATGAACATTTTAGGAGGCTTCCCAGGCCCCAAAAGGTAGACTACCAACAACTGAATTTCAGTTGTAAAGATACTTCAACATGTGAAAACATGAGATTCTTCTACGTAATAGAAAAGGAAAAATTAACTGGACTGGGATCCAAGCCAAGGATAAATGAACTGCAGTGTAAGTCCAGGGTGGGTACTGAAGGAATGCAGGGCATCTATTCTGACAGAGAATGTTTCATTTTAAACTTAAGAGTAGATGGGCGTGGGGGGAACCTTTACAGATGTCTTAAAGGACAAACAGTATTTTAAGAGAAATGTCAGCCACACGGATGTTGATGAACAGAGGGTGATTTCACCTGAATGGAATTCAAGACATCTCTCTTTATATCATTTCATTTCTAACATAGCTCATCCTTTTTGGCATAGGGGCTTTTAAGGAAAAAGTACAAAATAAATATTTTAAACCTGAGTGTCTTGTTGCCAATTCTTACCTACACGTTTCACCTTCCACTGTTTTTCTGTCTTCCATAGACAGGGTTCTCTGTCTTCCATAGAACTTCTCTATTTCAGTTATCTGGCTTCACTTTTTTTTTTTTTTTTTAATTTTTTTTCAACGTTTATTTATTTTTGGGACAGAGAGAGACAGAGCATGAACGGGGGAGGGGCAGAGAGAGAGGGAGACACAGAATCGGAAACAGGCTCCAGGCTCCGAGCCATCAGCCCAGAGCCTGACGCGGGGCTCGAACTCACGGACCGCGAGATCGTGACCTGGCTGAAGTCGGACGCTTAACCGACTGCGCCACCCAGGCGCCCCTATCTGGCTTCACTTCTGAAGCTGTGTAAGTCTAGCAGTTTCTGCAGACATTCAAGTAAATTATTTAAAAATAATGTTCAGTCATTATTATAATTAGGAGGGAAAATGGAATGAAGTTCTGCATAGTCAGTAACCTTTTGGAGGATGAAGTTCATATATTTAATTTAGAGGAATTGAAAGAATAAAAGTAAACCATAGCTTTGAATATATTCAATTTCAAATCATTTTTATTTCCAGACCTACCTTTAACATAGAAATTAGCATTGGCCAAAGGAACACAAATTAGCTGCTTTGCCTGCCAGGCAGGTTTTCTTTTTTGTTTACCAAAGATTACACAGAAAATTGAATACCACTATTTTACAGGGATGCAGGAGTTCTGAAAATTGATTATATTACACTCAACCTGAAATAACCAACACACTAAGAATTTTCGCAAATATTTTCCATTTCTCATTTTCCTTGTCCTAAAAATTCCAGGTTCAAATGTAGTATGTCTTTCAGATGTCTCATTGTTAGCATGATACTTCAAATATTATTAAAGATAGATGTTAGTTTTCCTTAATATTACAGGTAATATATTTTCATAGGGAATGCAGAGACCAGGTCTTTAAGTGTACTTTTAACCAAAGTGGGAAATAGGATCTGTAGTCTATATTTAGATTTATTTATGAATACATATTAAAAAGTGAACATTCTCTAAACCATTAGCAGACACAAATCTGTGAAATGTCATATGTGATTGTCTTGCATCCATACCGATCAAGAATGAAGTTGAAAGAGACCAAATGGGGCTTGGGAACAAATAGCATTCCCCATGTACTTGTGGATTTTATCACTGTGTAGAGTCCCTTAGACAAACTGAAATTGCACTGTTTGATGTGGGGTGTCTCATGATACCATTTTTCTGTATTTCAGGAAAACAGTGCATGTGCCTGGTGGATCTGGATCGAGCAAGAGCTGCAGAAGAACGTGGTTACTCCGTTCAAGTAATATCCATGGAGCCGGAGAGCTGCTCTCCCAAAAATAACATGATCGTGGGAGTCCCCATTTAGAAGGAGATATTCCCATTTGATGTTTTGCCATCCGTTTTCATGATGAAAGCCCAGTGGCATTTAGGAGGTTCTTGGCATAACTAGAAAACAGCATTAGCCATCTTGAACTTATTGTGCTCAGGAAGGAGAGCAGCAGGAAAATCATGGAAGAAAGGCTGCCTGCAAAGCATCACAAATGCTCTTGTAATGTATGATTAAAGGACCGCTGGTTTTCATAGTGAGAATCCCCTGAAGTCCCAGCTGCCAACAGAATAATACTCGGTAGTGGAGGTTCCATCCCTAGAATAACAATTTCCTTCTCAGCTCACAGCTTTTCTGATCTTGCCAATGTGATGTTCAATTCAAAACAATGAATCGAAGCCTTTATAATCATTGCAGCCTTTGTAACCATTTAGATATTCAAATGGAGGCCACAACTAGACTCAGTGGGGTTTGCTGGTTGGCTGGTTGTATTTTTAACAACTGGTCTTTTTCTATAATTTTAAAAAATATCTCATCAGGCAATTACAATATGGTTAACTTTTTAAGCTAGGGTGAGTTGGATTTATATCTCATTTCATACACTTCCTTGAATATATTTCCCATAAATTACCAAATGAGATCATCACTAGTTCAAACATTTTATATGAAGACATAAAATAATTGCAGCAAATCTCCCATTATGGAAACATGTAACTTGGACATAAATTCTAACTAATCAGTAAACACATTGATCGATTGTTTCAAATTTATAAATAATTATTGAGGATCCATTATTTTCAAGACCTGGCCTACATTCTTCTAAGGGTACAAAGATGAGTTGCAAGAAACATGATGCCTTGTCTATGGAATAATCATGGAAAAGAAAAGTTAACGAATTAGTTAAGTTCTGTATATCATAATATAATGTGTGGTCACAAGATTTGTTTTCCAGGTATCGTATCTTTTAGTTACGTTATTTTGGTAAGACGTATTGAATATAGATTGGAGGTGGGAGGAGGGCAGAATTTGGAAGCTTATTTGAGTATTTCTCCCTTCTCACATTCTCCTATTCCACTAGCCAAAGTTTTGAAAGACAGATGGCATGTCCTTTCTCACATGCTGTTAATTATTTAACTTTTACATGTCCTAGGTTATTCCATCTGAGGTGAGATTTATTTCATTGATTTTGATGTTTTCAACCCCTGTATGACACATACCAAAAGGAAAAAGAACTCTAATAAACAACTCTTTCCTCAGTGTGGGCTAAAATGTAGGAATAATTTACTCAGAGGAGGGAGGGATGAATTCTTGTTTTCTGAGATAAAATTTAAGAAAAGAGTTAATCATCAGCCCTGAGTATTTTAGTCATTTTTACCTATAGACACACCATGCTCTTTTATCCTGGGCTTTCTTTTTTAAATGAAGTTATAGTTTATAGACAATAAAATAACAGATTTTAAGTGTCTAGTTTGAGAAGTTTTAACAAACTGCCATGCAACTGCCACCAGAAATAAGATATAGAGTATTTCCACCAGCCCAGAAAGCTCTCTGACATCCCTTTCTGTTCAGTTTCACCTTCCCCACAGACAACCTCTTTCTGATTTCTATCACCGTCTATTTTTTCTATTTTCGTCTTTCATATAAATTAAATCATTTAGTATGTAGTCTTTTGTGTCTGGCTGCTTTTGCCCAACATGGTATTTTTTGGGAAATACCCACATTGTTATGTATATCAATAGTTTCTTCTTATTCTTAAGTAATACTCTATTATATAAATTTATCAGAATGTATTTATTCATTCTCCTATTGGTATTTATTTGGATTATTTTCACTTTGAAAATATTACAAATAAGGCCTATGAATATTTTTGTACAAGTCTTTTTGTGGACATATGTTTTCATTTCTCTTGGATAAATACCTAGTAGTAGAATTGCTGTGTCATTAAATAAATGAATGCCAATTGCCAAACAATTTTCCAAAGTGGTTGTACCATTTTATATTCCCACCAGCAATGTATAAAAATTCTAGTTCCCCACATCCTCATAACATTTGATATTTCAGTCTTTTTTACTTTAACCATTCTAGTGGACATAAAATAGTATTTCATTGTGGTTTTAATTTTCATTTCTCAGATGACTTAGTGACATTAAGCATCATTTGTAAAGTTAATGTTTAAGTCTTTTACTCAACTTTAAAATTAGGTCATTTGTCATTTTTTATTGATGGTTTATAAAGAATGCTTTATATATTCTGGTTAAGAGTTCTTTGTCAGATATATGTTTTGAAAATGTTTCTCCCAGTCTGTGGCTTATCTACTCATTTTCATAATGATTGTTTTAATTTTGAGGAAGCCTAATTTAAGTGTTTTTACTGGTTAATATTTTCTGTGTCTTCTATAATAAATCTTTGCCTACTCTGGCATAATGAAGATTTTTCCTGTGCTTTCTTATAGAAATGTTACGGTTTTAGCTTTATACATTTACATCTATGACCCATCTCAAATCAATATTCACATAGAGGTAGGTAGGTTTTGAGAAATATACATTTGTTTTAGCACCATTTATTTAAAAACCTTTTCCCATTGGATTGACTTGGCAACTCAGTTGAAAATCAATTAATATATACGTATGAGTCTATGAAGTCTTTAGTCTGTTCCATTAATTTTTTTGATTACTGTAGCTTTATAGTAAGTCTTGAATACCAGTTTTCTTTTTCTTTTTTTAAAGATTTTAATTTTAAGTTATCTCTATACCCAGTGTGGGGCTCAAACTTACAACCCAGAGATCAAGAGTTGCACCCTCTACTGACTGAGCCAGCCAGGCGCCCCACCAATTTTATTTTTCATTGTCCATATTGTTTTGTTGTTCTAGATCCATTGTGTTTCCATATAATTTTTTTTTAATTGGCTTATCAATTTCCTTAAAACAAAAATAGCCTGCTGAGAATTTTGGTATTGTCTGGATCTTTAGATCAGTTTAGGGGAAATGAACATATTAACAATACTGAGTCTTACAATCTATAAACCTAATATATCTTGCCATATATTTAGATCTTCTTTATTTATGTCCACTAATATTTATAATTTTCAATATAGATGTTTTATTTATTATTATTTGATAGTTTTGATGCTGTTACCTAAGTTTTTTACGTGTTGTGCCACTACTCAGAATAGCTTCCTCTTATCCCTCCCATTAACTTAGGCTCATTCACCCTTCTGCTCTTAGACCTGACCTCCCAAGGGAAGCCTTTCCTAACTTCCCTGGAGTTAGGTACCTGTTACAGAATGTGTACCATCTGGAGGAGTCTTCTTCACCCACTCCAATTGAGTCAAAGCACCCCCCTCCCAAAGAGCATATGTTAAGTATGGAGAATAAAAAAGGAAGTGACTCCACTGTTTTCCCACCCTTGTTCTCAGGCGTGGAATTCTCCAACTGTGATGGCTGTGGCTAGTCATAGATATGGGTATTAATGATTGCCCTTAGGGCATGAGTTTTCTGTGTAAATCCTTTCCAAGGCTCCTTCTCAGCCAGGGCAAATAAAAGAGGTTGGATGCTGGCAGCAGGAAGGTTGTTGCAATGACAACAATCCCAGCAAGTGACCTGGTTTCACCCCTACACTTGTCGATCAAAAGCAAAGCTGCTCCTCACTGATCTCTCTCCCCCACAGTTGTAATATTAGAAGCCAGAGATCATCTTTCATTGACTTTCAAGCCTGGCTCAGAGATAGAGATGTATAATTATTAATGACTAAACAATTTTATCTTATTCAGGGAGACATTTCAGACATACTAGAAACCAAAATGTTTTCAGAGCACACATGCAAAATAGCATGTGAATCACAATAATTAAACATTTCATCTCATTCTCAAGATTTTCACTGCAGGTGTCATCCTCTCCATGGTTCAAGAAAATTGCCATTAATAGAATTTCCACATATACATGTTTTTCTATTGGCTTTCATAATAAAGTTAGAGATATGTTCCTGTGGAAGCAATATAATTAAATCATTAAAAAGGAACCAATACTTTTTTTAAGTTATAATTTTTAAAAAAAAGATTCTCGGGGTGCCTGGGTGGCTCAGTCAGTTAAACGTCCCACTTTGGCTCAGGTCATGATCTCACAGTTCATGAGTTCAAGCCCCGCGTCGGGCTCTGTGCTGACAGCTCAGAGCCTGGAACCTGCTTAAGATTCTGTGCCTCCCTCGCTCTCTGCCCCTTCCCCACTCGTACTCTGTCTCTCTGTCTCTCAAAAATATATAAACATTAAAAAAAAAAATTTTAAAACAGATTCCCAATACAAAGTAGTTAGGCATTTTTTTCATGTTTATTTTTGAGAAAGAGAGAGAGCGAGAGCAAGTGGGCAATGAGCAGAGAGAGAGATAGGGAGACAAAATCTGAAGCAGGCTCCACACTGTCAGCACAAAGCCCAACATCACAGGCTCACACTCATGAACCATGAGATCTTGACATGAGCTGAAGTGATTGAGCCACCCAGGTGCCCCAGTAGTTAGGCATTTTTGAATAGATATTTTTTATACACCAGAAATACATGTCTTTAGAAGACATGGCTAAACAAAAGGAAAAATTTTTACACCACTGTTACTACTTTGCTTTGTATCTTCGTAGACTTTGCTCTATATACACACAGACACACAGAGAGATGTAACAAACACTAATTCAGTATTTAATATTTGCTAGGCACTATTCGAAGTCCTGTGTTAATAATAACTCATTTGGAATCCTCATAATGACACTAAGAGCTAGATACCATTAATGATCTCATTTTATAGAAACTAAGGCCAATGTTTCACCGGAAGAGCAGACCCAGATATGAACTCAGCTAGTAATTGGCAGAGCTTAGAATCTATTTCAGGCTCTTTAGCAATCATATTGGGATTGGCTGAGATATGCTATAGTAACAATATCTCTCTGCCTTTTGAATTTCTACATAAGAAAGATGTATTTTTCACTTGTACTATATATCCATCCAAGTCAGCTATGACTCTGCACCACATTATCTTTACACCTGACCAAGAAGACT